TCAATTAGACAACTTTAAAGCTAAGTGTATTGGTATTTTTTTTTTTTTTTTTGAGTTGGAGTCTCACTCTGTCGCCCAGACTGGAGTGCAGTGGCTGCTCCCGGCCACTGCAGCCTCGACCTGCTGGTCTCCGGCGATCCTTCCACCTCAGCCTTCCGAGTAGCCGGAATTACAGGCATGTGCTACCACGCCTGGCTGATTTTTTGATTTATTGTAGAGATGAGGTCTTGCTACCCAGGCGGGTCTCGAACCCGCGAGCTCAGGCAATCCACTCACCTCAGCCTCCCAAAGGCGCGGGATTACAGGCTGAGCCACCGAGCCCGGCAGTGTATTGGTATTTTCACTGCAAACCATTGATAGTGATTCTCAAAGCCATTGAACAGAGAATGGCTTACTTAAATGTTTGGATTCACTTGAATGAATATTTGGATGTTCAGATTAATTCAAAACTATATATGATATTCAATTTTAGCTTATGTTGTGGAAAATGCCTAGTCATAAGTTACAGTTCTTCCCCTCAGGGACCTCATAAGTTTGTGTTATTACTTAGACTTGCTATCTAAACAATTAGAACAGTGGAGACAACCAAAGGCTAGATTATGTCATACACAGAATAGAGATTACATTGTAAAAGATTACTGATAATCTTTGCAAAATGTTATTCTGTAAACAATTCTTTGTAAAGAGGATCTCTGGCAGTTCTATCATTGTTGATTAGTGTTTGCATTTCTCCAGAATAGTTAAGGGAATTTTTTTTTTTTTTTTTGAGTTGGAGTCTTACTCCATCATCCAGGCTGGAGTGCACCCCAGCATTGACCTGCTGGACTCAGGAGATCCTTCCGCCTCAGCCTTCCAAGTAGCCGAAACTACAGGTGCATGCTACCGTGCCTGGCTAATTTTTTGATTTATTGTAGAGATGAGGTCTCGTCAAGTTGTCCAGGCTGTTCTCGAACCCGTGGGTTCAGGCAGTCCCCTCACCTTGGCCTCCCAAAGTGCTGGGATTACAGGCTTGAGCCACCATGCCCGGCCGGGAAATTCTTAAACATGTAATACTGATTATAGGAAAGAAGGGAACTGATGAAAAAGTATCTCTAGAAAGTGAGGCTTACTACTCAGGATGGACACATCAGTAAGGAAATAAACAATGTGGAGGTACTTAATAAATGTTAACTTACTTTCCAGATGTAGTTGTAGGTCTTTTGGGTTGCTCTAGGTGGTTGGCCATGAAGCAGATATGCTCTATTTGTCTGCTATGAATGCTTGTGACACTGAACACCATTACCTTAGGGCCACTATAAGGAGTCCCAGGAATAAGAGAGGAAGAAACCTACTATGTACTGCTTTTTCTACTATGTGTCAGGCAGTATGCTGGGCAATTTTTTGTAAACATCCCTCCTTATTCCTTTATGAAGACACATATGGAGAATTTGTCTTGTATCTCAGTGCCTTCTCCTGAGTACTTGCAAACTGTTTATTTCATGGACACTTCTTAGATAATTATGTTTCCCTGGTAATTTTATTTACTATGTTTTAGGCATTTATGCTTATCATTTACATAGAGTATCTCTTTGAATTCTCACTGGAGCAACCTTTTTGTAACGGGTATTCATGTTTTAGATGAGAACACTAAAATTCAGAAAGATTAAGTGGCTAACTTTTCTAAAGTCACACATAGCCCAGCTGTTTTTTCCTGAGATATTTATTTATGCTATTGGTCTCCTCTTCAGTTCTGAATGCCTGACCTGTATCCTAAACTTATCTTTACTTAGCAACCAATGTCTAGAGGGAGGAAGAAAAAGAAGGCCCTAAGCCTAGCAAAAAGAAACAATAAATGTGCGTTTACTCATTCAGAAAATATTTGCTGAGCATATACTATATCCTTGTACATCATTGAATAAGCCAGACATTAGTCCTGGCTTTGTGGCATTTATAATTTTCATAAGTATTTGAATAGATAAAGCATGGCTTATATATACTAAGATTTTTCCAAAACAAGTCATAGCAGTCACACTGTGTGTGCTGTAAAGCTAGTGCAGAATTGGATGACTTAGAATTTATCTCATTGGCCAAGCTCTGTGGCTCAGCCTGTAATCCCAGCCCTTTGGGAGGCTGAGGCGTGTGGATTGCCTGAGTCTGCAGGTTCGAGACCAACCTGGGTAACTTGACGAGACCTCATCTCTACAATAAATAAAAAATTAGCCAGGCATGGTAGCGCGTGCCTGTAGTTCTGGCTACTTGGAACACTGAGGTGGAAGGATCGCTGGAGCCCAGCAGGCTGACACTGGAGTGGCTGTGAGCATGCCACTACACTCTAGCCTGGGTGACAGAGTGAGATTCCAGCCCCCCAAAAAAGAATTTATCTCATTCCAGGCAATGAGTCAAGAATATGAGGGACCATAATAGTCAAGAAACCCTTAAATATGGTTTGTCACTTTGAATGCCACAATTCTTAAAGGAGTGAAAGTGATAGTACACAAGACTTTATTTGAAATTTTAGAAGACTAATGTGAGCCAGAGATGGTTGATGGAGCATTGTCAGAAGAATTTCAGAAACTGCAAGTTGTTACATAGACGTATTGATTTAATTAGTCTAGATAACACCATGTATTTATGCTTAAGCATCTCACACATACAAAAGTTGGTAACTCAGTCACACAATAATTTGTGAATTATCTTCTGTACCATAAGTTGTAGCCTCTGAATACCAACTTTGGTGAGTATATGTGTGTCAGATGCTTAAGCATAAATACAAGGTGTTATGTAAACCAATTAAGCAATACAGTTTGTTTCTAGAATTCTGTTGATAAAGGATTTCATCTAAAATTTTCTGGCAGTGACTTTTAAAATAGCATACATTGTTTTAAACAATTTAATCTTATAGTATGAACAAATCTTCATTGGAGACAGAACATGTCTGGTTCTGCTGCTTAAGTCCTTTTTAGGTATCTGGAGGAATACTTAATACACAATTGCAACTTAATGAAATCATTTTGGTTAACCATACATTGAGTGTTCTGGCCAGTGAGTAGAATTTATCCTCTTAACAAAAAGATTAACTTATTTTGCTATAGATGAAAGACTGTATTATTCTCTTGGGGGAGAAAAAACAGTTAGAATCCCTTTGCTATTCTCCCTCCCTCTCTCTCTCTTTTGCTCTTCTAATTTTAACTATAAGAGCACCAAGGCCTTCTGTGTCGGCCAGATTTTGCAGTACTGTTTTCACACTTTTTAAAATGCTATTAATTATATATTTTTAATCTCCAGCTAATTTAAACAGGTTTGTTGTTGTTTAAAGTGGTAAATTATCAAAAGGAAGACTAAAACAAACATAAGTTTACCTACTAAGAATTTTGGTAACATCTTTCGGAGTTTGTGTTGCTTTAGCGCTATTCTTTCTCATCATACTACCCAGAAAGTAGAAAGGGAACAATTAATTAATCTAGTCTTACACATAAAAAAACAGAAGCTCACAGGGGTTAAATGTCTTGCCTAAGGTCAGATTTACTAAGAAGATAGTCACAGAGTGCACAGAGAATTCCAAAGCTTGGCAGAATGCAGCATATGACTCATTGGGATATGTGATAGGCAGATAATTATTTTCTCAGAAGTTTCAATGACTACTAGTCCGTTCTTATTCCTCTGAGATCATCCACTATCTTCACCCAATGCAGAAACTTGTTTGGAGGTTAGGGCTACTCTGTAATCTTCAGGTGATGTCAGAAACCCTTCCTACTAAGCATAGCTGGCTTGGAATTCCAAGTTAAATATGTAACATGGGTTTCTTAAGGCTGCTATATGCCAATCACTGTTCAAAGAATGTAAAATGTCACTTTTAGGACCATTAGCTTTTATTACTTTATGCTCTATAATAGGGTGTCTCATTTAATATGCATTTAATAGAATACATACATAAGTTTGAGGGATGGGCACATATCCAGAGGCAAGCCTTGCCCACCAAAGCAAATGCAAGAGGAAAAACACATCCTTCAGAGAAAAAGGAAGCCACATAAAATGAGTCCCACCACTGATGCCTGGGGGAAAAGACAGACTGAATTTAACATGGTAAATGGGCCAGCTGGTATAGAAAAAAACAGTCATCCATTTGGAGATGAAGAGCAAGATAGACTTAGTTAAGGTTCTCTGTAATCGCTTGTGTTTTTAGACTTGCAGGTAGTACAAAGAAAGTACGCATATAAATCCAAGTTATGATGACTTTATTTTCTCATTGATAAAAATGAGTTACCTTAGGGAAACTTTGTTCTATAGAAAAATGTTTTCACCTAAAGCTAGTTCTTCTAGAGTTAGCATTTCTTTGTGTTTATGGCCTTCCATTACTATTGTCTTTATTAAAAGTCTAATGATTTAGCTTAAATATTGAGACCTAACTATATTTCTGTACCTCACAAGTTGTTTATTTACTTATTTACTTTTAAATAAGTTGTTTCTTTATTTTTTTTTTTAAAAAGCAAGATTTATTGAGAGGACAGAAAAGCTCCCACAGTGGAAGGGGACCCGAGGGGGTTGCCCAAGTTGTTTCTTTAATAGTGGGCGTACAGATTAACATTTGAGATTTTGGTCCAGGTGCTCAGACTGAGCTTATTTTGTTTGATGTGCTTGGAGCTGCTGCTTCCTTCAGTCTGTGACCTGATACTCTCGGAATTGTTTGTTGGTTTCAACAATTAGGAATGACACAAGAGCACTTGTGCCTTGCCTTTGAAGTGCTTTTATACAGGTTCTCATCTGCAGACTTGAAGAAAAAGGCAGCTTTTTCATATAAAGTGCTGCAAATTCCCTTCCGTTCAAAGAAAACAAGCTGACCCTCTTTTACCTCTTACTGTATTCCAGATCCTCTAGTTTCCCGACATTTTTACTTTCATTGTAATTTTCTCAGTTGCTGACTATATTTTCTTATTCATCAGGAGTTAAATATTCCTGTTTGCCATGGGAAGATGTATTGGTGTTCTGTGTTAATCATCACTTTGCCATACCTTTCCTTGCAGACCCCATATCATGTGAACCTCCTCCTGGCTGGCTACGATGAGCATGAAGGACCAGCGCTCTACTACATGGACTATCTCGCAGCCTTGGCCAAGGCTCCTTTTGCAGCCCATGGCTATGGTGCCTTCCTGACTCTCAGTATCCTGGATCGATACTACACACCTAGTAAGTACCAGCACTCTATGGTAGGGAGCAGTGGCAGAGCCCTGCTCTCAGCTATGTATCAGTTTTATCTTCCCATGGAGTTGTGGGGCCAGGACTTGAATAGAAGATGGATCCTAAGAGGCACAAGCAGGTACCCTCTCGAAGCTGTTCTCTCTTTTGGGTCAGTAGGATCTTTAAAAAACTGATATAAATCTCTTTTTGACAGCCAAAATGAGATATTGCATATCTCTAGAGCTGGGTTTTGTTTTAAAGGGAGCATTGGAGATGTCATAGGGAGTAAAACATTTTGTATTAGGTTCTTGCAATTCTTCAGTTACCAGGGTTTAGTTTTTTTACTCATTTTGCTCTGCCCAGGTGCTTATTGGCATCTTAACTATAAAGAATGATCAATTAAACAAAGTAGTTGTGTATTTGTTTTGAACTTTTGAGGATGAACAAGTCCCCAGCATGACAACTGAGGGTTTCTTTGCTTGACCATCAAAGGTTTCTAAGGCTACAAACCTGGACCCTGCCCTTGGTTATTGCCTAATAGCCACCCTCTCCTGCAAGAAAAAGCCGTCTGTCTACTTGTCTATAAACTGTCAGCCTGGCAAAGCTTTCGACAAAGGGATGCTTTTTAAAATTTTTAAAATTTTGTTTCATTTATTTATTTTTATTTTTGAGTTGAGGTGTCACTCTTTCACCCAGACTGGAGTGCAGCAGCACAATCATGGCACACTACAGCCTCAAACTCCTGGGCTCAAGTGATTCTCCCACTTTGGCCTCCCAAAGTGCTGGGATTACAGGCATGAGCCACTGCACCTGACCAAATTTTATTTTATTTTAATTGACAAATAATAATTGTCGTACATATTCATGGGTATGAAGTGATGGTTCAATGCATATAACGTATATAACAAATCAGGGTAGACCATCCATCATCTCAGACATTTATCATCCCTTTGTTTTGGGAAAATTCAATATCCTCCTCCTAGCTATTGAAACTATTTAGTGTATTGTTAATTGTAGTCATCTTACAGCAATATAGAGCACTAGAATTTATTCCTCCTATCTAGCTATGATTTTGAGTATCCTTTCAAAAATTGCTCTCTGGCCGGGCTTGGTGGCTCAGCCTGTAATCCCAGCACTTTGGGAGGCCGAGGTGAGTGGATTGCCTAAACCTGCAGGTTTGAGACCAGCCCAGCAACTTGGTGAGACCTTGTCTCTACAATAAATAAAAAATTAGGCAGGTGTGGTAGTGTGCTCCTGTAGTTCTGGCTACTTGGAAGGCTGAGGCGAAAGAATCTCTGGAGCCCAGCAGGTTGATGCTGGGGTAGCCGTGAGTATGCCACGGCACTCCAGCCTGGGCGATGGAGTGAGACTCCAACTCAAAAAAAAAAAATTGCTCCCTATTCCTTCCTTCCCCCTACTATTCCCAGCTTCTAGTATCCTCTGTTCTATTTTTTTACTTCTATAAGATCAACTTTGTTTAGCTTCCACATGAGTGAGAACACTCGGTGTTTAATTTTTCTGTTCCATGCTTATTTTACTTATCATAATGTCTTCTAGTTTCATCCATGTTTTCGTGAACAGAATTTCATTCCTTTTTTGTTTTGTTTTCTTTTGTTTTTGTTTTTGTTTTTTTGAGTTGGAGTCTCACTCCGTCGCCCAGACTGGAGTGCAGTGGCTACTCCTGGCCACTGCAGCCTCGACCTGCTGGACTCCGGCGATCCTTCCGCCTCAGCCTTCCAAGTAGCTGAAACTACAGGTGCACGCTACCACACCAGGCTAGTTTTTTATTTTATGTAGAGATGAGGTCTCACCAAGTTGCCCAGGCAGGTCACGAACCCGCAGGCTCAGGCAATCCACTCACCTCAGCCTCCCAAAGTGGTGGGATTACAGGCTGAGCCACCGAGCCAGGCTTTCATTCCTTTTTTATGGCTAAATGGTATTCCATGGTGTATGTATATTATTCTTTTTTTTTTTTTTTTTTTTT